CCCCCCCAATGTTCTTATAAGGACTTACCTTAAAGGCTGCCTCTTGATCCAATCATCTTCTCTCCAGAGGTTTCAGGAGTCCCTCCAGCACTGATCCGGCGCAGAATCCTCGGGTCCCACGTTGTCGGTCTGATGTGCATGCATTCACCTGCACTACATCTCTCCTCTCTGAAAACATGAGTTGATTACCTGATAACTCTGTTTCCAGGAATCTTCCAGGACAGCCATCGAGATATAGGCTCCGCCTGCCTGCAACAGGAAACACATCAACCACATTAAATAAATAGACTCCTCCTTCCATCCCAAGTCAGTAACCTCTAGGACCGAAGGCTACCCCATGCACCAAAGTATCCCTGCCTTCATCCAACCTCGGATGCCACCTGGATACACACCAAGGGCGGGAACTGGCTGTCCTGGAAGATTCCTGGAAACAGAGTTATCAGGTAATCAACTCATGTTTTCCCCAGTCATCTTCCAGGACAGCCATCGAGAGGATCAGCGAGGACAAATCTTACCTCCTAGGGTGGGACCACAGCTTGCAGGACTTTCCTGCCAAATGCCTGGTCTTGTTGAGTCAGAAGGTCCAGCCTGTAGTGCCTGACGAATGTCTGGAAGCTGGACCACGTGGCTGCTCTGCAGATCTGTTCTGGAGTAGCCCCTGCTCGCTCTGCCCAGGACGTAGCCCATGCTCGAGTCGAGTGTGCCGTGAGTGAACCTGGCAGCACCAAGCCCTGTGCTTTGTAGGTGTCAGTTATGGCCATTTTAATCCACCTTGCAATCGTGCCTTTAGTGGCCCTGTTCCCCCTAGTGGGGCCCCCAAACGTAACAAAGAGGCGGGACACCTGCCAAGGTTTTGTGACTTGGAGGTACTCCAAGACAGACCTTCACATCTATACCCTGCCACTCCCGTTCTCTAGCAGAGGCCGAAAGATGACTGGGGAAAAATGGCCTGGATGGGAAGGGGGTTTAACACCGCGGATGTCAACTGGTTAAAGTACAATTGGGTTTTTAACGCATAACAAAGAATCTCAAAAGCACTGGGTGAGCTAAAAAAAAAAAAAAAAAGCACAGGAGACACTGCTTGCTTTAGAGCTTTGTTTGTTTGATTGAAACCTCATACTGAGTGTGCTGTAAACAAGAGAATTCTTTTTGGCTTAACAACAAAAAAGCAGAGTCTGCAAACCATGAAAAGACGACAAGGGTCCCTTAAAAGAATGCAAAATATTAAAATTTACCTTGCAAAAAAGAAAATTTAGCAAATCGTAATTGTTTTCTTACTTACAGAAGAGAGAATGTATACAAAAACACTAAACACAGCTGGAGTATAGGTGGACTTCCTGAAGTAACAAACTGCATGCAACTCCCCCAGCCTGTCACTGCAGCCCCTGAAAAGTCTATTAAAAGGGGTGGGAAACCCCAAATACCCCCCAACTGCACGGTTTTTACGGGGGGATGTGCAATGGCTTTGTTACTTTGCAGAGTCTGAATATAGAACACGATTCCACTAATTTCAATTGAGAACATCTCTCAGCTAAATGCACTGCCCAGTATATGCTTTATTCCCATCTTTGTGAAAGTGTTTATGCTCTTCATGCAGTGTATGATTTAATTTACTGCCATTCAGCACACTTACATTAAAAATTGAAGGGTTTGAACACATTAAAATGTGCTGTAGTCTCAGAATACATTGTTTAAAATTCTGTCTTTGTTTCATAAACAGTGATCTATTTGATAAAATCTGATGATCTATGCTTAATTTGCATATCAAATGTAATTACAGCAGCTAGAAATATAATGGAGCAACTTGAGAATATGAAGAGGTTTTCATATAGAGAAAAAGGTAAGAAGTCATTGACGGCATCTGCTTTCAACAGCATAATGACATGCAATAAGACACTGAATGCAGTGGGATTTTCATTTTGCAAGCTGAACCTTGCTTGTGTGGATAATGGCAAGAAAGGTGACACCCTAAAGGATGACACAAATATAATAAACCAGGCAGGAAAGTTTATATATATATATAGATAAAAAATATAGTGTAATGTAAACGGGTATAAATATATATATATAAAAAGGTTTTTTTAGTCAGGTAAATATTAAATATTTCATTTTAATATTACATCGTTTTTTTATCCAGCCAGAACATGGAGCTCTAGTTTCCTTTTCGTGTGTGGAACATTCTATCGCTTTCACCTATGCTGAAAGAAGCCCATGCTTTAAAAAAATGCAGTATCTAACAAAGAAGAATCTAATCAATCTAAAGAAAGCCTGATGATGTAAAGATAATGTAAAGGATCCAACTACATGTATTAACTTGGATATTAACCTTTATTTATTTTTTGGTATATTTGGTATCACAACAGAGGAATCAGTTCTATCGAAGAGAATATACAAAGACCTGATTAGAACCTGTAGGTGTGTTTAGTTCCTCCTTTGCACCATGTCTATGGCTATGGATATGGATATTAATGAACAGACGTCTAGGATAATTATGCATTGCTCTTTTATGTGAATATCACTTGCGCATAAATATCCAGACTTTTTATATCTTCTATATTACCCTAACCATTAAACCCCCAAAGACTGATGTTTAAATGTTGCTTATACAGGGCATAATCAATGAAATGAAGAAACATACTTGCTTACAACAACCGACTTCCAGGCCTTCCCATCGACTCCTTCAAGTTGAGGCCCTCTGCTTTCAGAAAAACTCAATGTATTTCTCATTTCTTCTAGGTTTGTACTTAGTTTTTCATTGATCACCTCCAAATTTCTTTTTGCTATGCGCAGCTTCTCTGATGTTTCCGTTTCCTTTGTAATAAGATGTTAACAGGACATGACAAGATCAATTTAAAACTGGGGACAATTCTTAATTCAGTAAACAAGAGCAAAGACATTTCTTTTTGGTTATGCAAACCACAAAACAATAAACAAACAACTTTATTATTTGAATTGTCTTAATAGAAATACATTAGCATTTTAAAATATCTTTCTTTCAGAATTACATTTTCTACCATTTGTTAGGCAGTATTATAATGTTTACACTAATTTAGAAGTTGTTAGCAGTCACCAACTGACTATGACCAATTACTTAAAGGTTACATGTTCTCTTAATAGGATACTCCACTAAACCCACAGATGTTCACGTTCCCTGTGCTCCCCCACCATTCTGCTCTTCAGTTGGTGCATTTGTGTTTAGGAGACCATGCAACTTTTCCTCCCAGGATTATGTGCGTGGACCTAAGTGGGCAGTCACCAGGTCATTTTCCACTGTCCCGTGTGAGCAGATCATTAACCATGCATACGCTCCAAAACAGAACTTACACCGGGTTTAGATGCACAGCTGCAATGGACTAAGTAAGGAAGCACGGGGAAGCCATTAGTGGAGTGAAAAATGGGAGGCTGTGGAGCTTTCTCATTCACCAGTCACTTTACCTTAAATAAACAAAGTGACAAATTCTTTTTGCGAGACCTCACTAGCTTCCTTTGTGCAGCTATAGTTGTGCTCTGAGGTGATGATGAAAACCGGTTAAAAAAACAATATTGCATAATAACAACAGTATTTAAATCATAGTTCCTGTGTGGGGAAGGGGGCAGTCATTAAATCAAAGTGTACAGAACATATTACTCAAAATAACACCTGAAAAAACAAACATAAAATAGATGCAATGTAAAAAAAATGACAGCAAGTAATGAAACTACAAAAAAGTATCGGTTGATCTGCCTGAAACTCAGTGTGCTCATCATAACACCCTGTTTGAGCTACCTACATAGTGTCCCTGTTGCTCTGAAATACAAAACAGCCTTTTCAGCCCTGCCTACAGAGGACTACAGAGGTGTGCCTATACCCCCATCTCTTTCTATCCCTCTCCACACGTACTTTGATTTCTTTCCCAGTAAAGCAGTGCTGCTGTCTTGACTCCCAAAAGCCTGTCCACACACTGTGTGTAGGTAAATTGGTCTTGGGAGATCTAGTTTGGGGAGGGAGGGGGGGGGGTATCTACATCAGTAGGAAATGCACTCCCTGCAAGAGCAAGCACACGAATAAACCAAGACTGCTTCTCAATACAGGAAGAAGGTAAAATAATACAATACCGGGGCATGCTCTAGAGGTGGAGAATAAGGATTGGGGTAATGCCTGGACATGCACTTTAACCCATCTCAAGCTATAATTTGTTTACAGTCATTGCCCATACTACATTAGCAAAACTAAAGCTATGGCCTGACCAAGGACAACGCCTCCATTTTCTACTCTAAGGGCCAACTCATACCTTTAGGGTGCGTTGTGGTATGTACATTAGTGTGTTGCAATGCTATTCATTTTGAATGCCACCCAAATGCACTAAGGGAATGCAGCTGCAACATACGTGTATTGCGTTGGCAAAAATGATGCAAGTCCTTTTTTTGGACGTATTGGTGTAGACAGCCCATTAAAACAACAGACACTAATGCAGAGCAAAATGCACATTAACACAATGCACTAGGACGCTATGGTCTGAATGGGCCTTATTCATAGAATTAAGGCCAACTAATGCACAGAAAAAAAAAAAAACTGGTGTAGTGAGCATTAGGTCAGATTTTGTGAGACAGTAGAATTAAAAGACATAAATGTAAAGCAATTAGCATGCTAGATGTAAAATGGATTATTAGACGGAACAGACAGGAAATGGCTCAGCTAAAAAAAAAGAAATGATTTCAGTAATTCCCTCTGACACAGGTAAAAAGAACCGATTCAGTGATTTAGTAGTAAAGTGACGTACTGTATGCAGGACTAATTAAAGCCAAACAGCACCTGCATTAGTTTATGTGCAACAAAAAGGTGTTCACACTAGAAATGACAAGAACGACTTAATCATACGTGACTGTTACAATTTTTAAAAGGGTTCAGATCACAGTCATTGTATTCTTACCGTTTTCAGTTCCTTACGAAGTCTCTCATTTTCCGCAATTACTTTTTCAATTCCTTTCGTCTTTGCTTCATATCTCATACTTAGCTGTCCACCCACATGCAGCTGCAGCTTTTCAAGTTCAGACTAGGTGTGAAAAAAAAAAAAAAGAGACAAAAAAAAACACAATAGGGCTTGATCTTATACAAAAAACGCAGTAGTCATTGATCTCCAAACAGAACACAGGGCTGGATCAGTGCAATGTGAGTTACATGTGTACATGGCACTTTTGTACCATAGCTGTAAAAGAGATGTTTTCAAATTCTAAAATACTGTGCACAAATCTCAGTTGGAGATATTTTAAAATTGTCATGCAGCTTTGAAATGTATCTAAACCCAAAAACAAAAATGTCATATATTTAAGTTTACCACTATTTAGATGTGGCGGTTGTATTCGTTTTCTTTTTATAGGTTTTTTTTTTCTGGCCAACACACTTTCCGTCTTAGGGTCTGTTCACACTATATACGGTGACTGGTGTTTTTCAGCAAATGAATGTCAGTAACTGCTAGGGCACAAAGAAAACAATTGTTTCTTATGTGTCCTGTTCACACCACAACGCAGATGTGATCTGTGGTACAGTGCACTGCAAAACAATTCAGACAGATGCATTTTTTTACAGCTCACTGGAAGTCACCCCACACTTTGTACACTACAAATAATGTTAAAAATTAAAGGAGAACTATGAGGTGAGTGCTTTGCACTCAGCCTCATAGTTCTAGCCGACCTGTGACAATGAGACTGTCACAGGTCGGCTCAGTAGATCGGGAGGTGAGCGAACACATACCGGCGTTCGCTCACTTCTCGATCCTGTCACGGCGCTCTTCCGTGACAGGGGAGTGGCTTGATTCCCCCTCCGATCCTCCAGAGCTGACTGGCGGAATGGACAGGGGAGGGGGCGGGTACAGCTGGCTCTGCCACTAGATAGGCAGAGCCAGCTGTCACTCACGCAGCTGGGCGGATCCAGACATAAATGTTGGGATCCGCTTCAGCGCCTCAGTATACCGCGAGCTGTAGCTCGCGGTATACTGAGCCTAGGGCGACGGGAGGACGCTAGTTTGTGTCCTCCCGTTACCCTAAGGAGAACTATAGGGAAAAGCCCTAACCCCATAGTTCTCCTTTAAGAAGAGAAGTAAACAGTGCCTTGCGTGTACCGCGGCTCACCACTGCCACTCAGTGGACACTAGTCGCACAGTAAAACGCAATGATTTACCGTGCGTCTTGTGTGAATGAGCCATTACAGTGGCCACACTCACTTCACCTCTGTATCTATGGAGGAGCAATGTAGGATTTCTTGGACAGCAACACTATCAACCTGTGGAGAGGTTCGGGTTAGATGGACTAGTAGATTTAAATGGACTTGATTAACAAATTAAAGCCGAATTCCAGTTAACATTTTTAAAGCAGTTACAGATAAAGGTTTTAAGTAAATGAGTGAAAGTTGACCATTGTAAGCACCTCTGTCAGTGTATACAAACCGTGTCCACAGATAGAGGGCTGAGACAAACCATATGAGGTTAACAGTGAACCTCATATGGTTTGTCTCAGTCACTTTTTCTGGACAGCTTGGTCTGGTAAAGGAAGTTGAAAAATAACAGGCTTACTGGCTGGACTGTCAGTCACCGCTCCCCCGCAGGGATTTCCCCCTCCCCTCTCTATTCCTCCAGCGCTGACTGCAGGAACAGAGGGGGGGCAGGCACAGCTGGCTTTGCCTTTAGAGAGGCAGGCAGCAGGGTGGATCCCGACAATATTGTCAGAATCCATCCTGGCTGCAGTGCGGCTCTGTGCTGTTAGCATATAACGGGCAATAGCCTGCTAGATGTTGAGTTTTGGGTCACAAGAGGACATTAGTATATGTCCTCCTGTGACCCTAAAGAGAACTATGGCAAAAAAAAAAGGTTGGGCCATAGTTCTCTTTTAAGGTTCTGAACATCGTGCCTTTTTGCACCCATGTACATATATCCTTAGGCAAAAGAGCTGCTCGAGTCTCTACAGAAAGTCAGAAGTTCAGATTTGCAAATACAGAAACTGCAACTGAAAGAGTATCTATGGTCAAAAACTAAAAATAATTATGCATTCCTATATTAAATTTCCATAAGTTAACTACAACTATATCCATCAAGTTTGTAAATGTACTTATTGAAGATGCCTACAGGATGTACTTCCTCAATGCAGTGACACAATTTGTGGGGAATATGCAGTGCACTGTAAGTTTGTCACAACTCTCACAGAGCCTGCTTTCTGATCAATGTAATGTGATTATTGCTTACTGGAAGCAATACATTATGTAGTCTTGAGAAATGGAGATTGCATCCCATCAAGCAGCAGGGAGAGAGATGCAAAGCACACTGGGAATCCAGGAAGTTGTTGAAAGTGATTGGCAGACAGAAGGAAGCGCTCACTACATAAAATCATTTTTCAAGTAATCTTTGATTGCATGATCAAAAACAACTCTACTATGTATTCCTATTCCAATGCTGATGTTGTAATAAAGGCAGCATAATATGCTGTATGCTATAACTATACAACTCCTTTTAATCAGTATTTAGCATTGAGGAGTGAATGTGCTTGCAAATTTTATTTTTTTACAAATCAGCTGATTTTGTTGCCGAATGTGTGCTGCATCTTTGGTGAAACTGACAGTGGGGAACAGGCACAGAGATGAGCTGCAACAAATACTTGCCAAAAGATAGTTTATTTTGTGAATTACCCCCCTCTAGTGGCCACTTTGTTGCAAATGTATACAAAAATGGTGTAGATGGGTTTACAGATCTTATGAAGTTATGTTTCAGGGTATCAAGAAAGTAAAGCATTGCAAATTACTTGGAAAATAAATTCAGGTATGTATGTACTGATCCGATTTCCTTTTTTTCACTGCCCTTTCCCACTGTGGTGATTATTTAAGTATACTGTAATTACTTTTTTCATGTCATTATGCATTTGGTGGTCTCTGCTTTAAGCTTAAATACAATAAAATATCTTTCAACGAACCACTGGAATGTGCATTGTACAGTGTGCTGACATTTTATTTTGAATAGTAAGCCAATGCACTACTATAGTAGCGGGCAATGCACACCCACACCGCAGCGCATCATGCTGAATAAAAGGTTCTAGTTCATTATATATGCGCTAAGGTGCACTGCCAACCCACTTAAAATGAATAGGCTGCCATAACACCTTAACGCAATGCACAGGCAAAATTAATAGGCTGCCATAACACAGACCTCAATGCAATGCTGTGAATTGGCCCAAAAGTGCAACATATATTGGAGGCGTCATTTCTTTATGTATAAGGACAAAGAAGGCAATATAAAACAATGACATGCATCTGAAAACCAGAATAAGGCATCTTTCCCAACATTCAAAATTGTTGACGGCCCTGTGAAATATCGGGGCTGTCTACCTATCCGTATGAGAAAACAGACTAGCTGCTTTATGTCTGTAAATTGGACAGCCAGGTCAAATACCTTGTTTTTTGTCCACCTGCTGAACATACTATTTGGGCAGCAGATTGACAGACACGAGAGACCTAAGCCACAAGAAACTAAAAGGCTGAAATACCTTTAGTCTTTCATTTTCCACTTCGAGATTGGATAATTTTTCATTTGTCACAACACCTGGGGCTTTCTTTAGGTCCTCATTCTCTCTCTGAACTCTTTCCACGACTCGTTTCATCAGACCAATGGTCTTCTCCAGCTCTGGTATAGTCTTTCCACTTCTTCCAGACTTCAGGGATTCAGAAAAAAGTAAGAAGATTAATAAAATAATTACATGAAAACAAAATTGAAACTCTTCTAGCAAAAGATTTACAAGTGGGTCTCATCCAGTTTGTTTTATATAAAATGATGAATAAAAAGGAGAAAAACCACACACCAAGAGAATGTTAATTACTTTTTATAATGTGCAGCGAGGCCATGGTCTGCCAAGGTAAAACTGAGAGAACAATGCCAGCTACTGGTCAGATTAGGAAGCCTGCTGCTAGTCTTAGAACGTAACATTTAAAATATATCAGCAAGACTTTAATACAGCTACATGCAGCAATATTTATGTCATGTGAATTAAAAAGCTGGCAAAATTGAAAAGTCAAAGCTGGCAAAATTGAATTTTTATTATTGTTCCTATAACAATTGTGTAATCACCCAAATCGCTTGTGTATAGCTGAATATATGACTAATGTGTTATTAAACCTCTGACACAGTTATTCAATTCAGGAATTTAAATATCCATTTTTGGTCAATTATATTCCCCTACCTCTGCATCCTTATTGCACAATGATAAAAGTGAGCCAAAAGGGAATATAACATTTGTATTCCCCATAGAAGTATATATTTAATTCAACCTGACAAAGAAGACCACTTTAGCACGTATTATCAATCAATGTTGTTATTCAAACTGGGGACTGAATAATAAAGTGGTCTCTACTGCCAACGACAATCCACAGTAAGTACTGTAATAAACCTGCATAAACTACACAAACCTAAACTTTAGGTAAATGGGTGAGTACACAGATAAAATACAGATACAGTATATGAGCTCTGTTTTACCTGACAAATCATTTGTATTTCTGTCCATCTAGTCCTGAGATTTACCCAGCCCTGCCAGACAGCACATCCAGGTTGGTGACCTGCCCTTTCACTACATGAGTTACTCAACACAGCTTGGACACCTTCCTAGCTCCAGCCTTTGATTGGACAAAAAAGGAGTAGCACCACGCTAACAAAGTCATCACTGACTTTCTGTCAGCATTGTAATCACATGCAGGACACCTGCTTGGCTTACTACTGGCTTACTGCCCCTCCACTCTCAATCTGAGTTCCTTGGTATTGGGGATTACAACAGGCTGACAGATTTAAATATTTTTTATAGACATATTTATATACAGTATGTGCATTATTATTATTTTTTCAGCTTGATACAGTCATCACATATAAGGACTGGTAAACTGCAATATAGAACATTTTTGTTCTTGGGTTTACTGTAGATATACTGTAATTTTTATCTTCTGCATTCATATGTTCTGTTAACACTTTTGTTTATAAAGGTTTCCATGCTAAATGTTTTCGCAAACTTCTGAGCATCTTCACATTTTAATTTGTAATTAAAGATATTTCCTACAAAAGGTTTATAATATACAGATTTAAATAATAATAGAACTATACTTACGCCTCGAACATTTCCAAGTTTACGCTCAGCTTCTATTTTATCCTTTTTGAGAACTTCACACATTTCTTTTAAATTAGCAATTTGATCCTAAAAAAACATCAAAAAATATCCTCAAGTTTTTATATTAATTGGGTTCACAACAAATTTACCAACTATAATGGCTTTGAATTGCTTAGTGGAAACTAAGATAATTTTAAGCAATTTTTCTATTACAGAATTTTTGTTTACAATGAGTAAAATAGGATTTTTGTATTCACTGTAAATTCTTTTTTTATTTTTTTTGAGTCCACTAAGAGTCACAGGAAGTCATCTTTAGGTTATACTGCGAAGAATGATGTCCTGGTTTAGTTGAACAACAGGCTAGCATCTGTACTGAGGATCTTCTAAAAAAAACAGGAAGGCCGTCCTTGATTCCAGAATCAGATTGCTAAGCTACCTGGTCCTTGGTGCAAAGCAAAGCAGTCTGTCCTGGAACTGTAGTGACATGTTCCATAACAGAATGTTGTACTGTAGAGGTTTGGAGTGAAACTAGGCAAACCGGACTGCCTCAATGGAGGCTTCCATCAGACTCAAGACTTTTAAAGAAAAGCAGTAGGTCTGATAACTCCTGGACTGTAGAGCTTGGATCTGAGATCAGACAGAGTAAAATGTATCTGTGAAAGAAACTCTCTACCCTGTGCTGTACCGAGGACTAGACCCAAATACACACAAAAATTAGTCAGTTCTAGTGATCATTTCTGAAGGTTCATGATGCATTTGAATCACTATAATGTCTGGATGGTCAATGCATGGATGTCCTACAGAGTCTGCTCTGACTGTTCCGAAAATAGATCACCTAAGTATCCCACAATGGGGATGCTATAAGAATGAAGCAGGGCCTGTACTGGGGCTAGCATCTTGATAAACCCCCAAGGTGCAGACAAGCTGTCGAAGGGCAAGGCCACAAAGCAGTAGTTTAGAGGTACCACAGCAAAGTGTAAAAAATGCTTATGCACTGGAAAGATGGGGACATGCAGGTATACATGTATACATCCTTAATTTTACTGAAGCTAGTCAGTCTTCCTTGGTGAAGGGAGGCGATGAGTGACCTGCTGGATTCCACACAGAATCTCTGAGCTCGAATGAAGGCATTCAATGTTTTTAGATGCAAAATGGGGCAATTTGGAAAAGGGGAACAGGTTGGAGTAAAACCGCTAAAAACATTTTGCTACAGGAACTGGGGTAGTGACACTTTGATCCAGGAGACCTGAGTGAGGTTTATGAAGTATTGTTAAAGAACTATGATGTGAGTGAAAATTACTCATCCTCATAGCTCTAGCCGAACTGTGACAATGAAACTGTCACACGTCGACTCAATAGATTGGGAAGTGAGCGAACACATAACATCGCTCGCTCACTTCTCGCTCATCTCCCTGCAGAGAGCAGTGACTGTCAGTCACGGCTCCTTGCAGGGATTCCCCCCTCCCCACTCCGATCCTCCAGCACTGACTGGAGGAACGGTGGGGTAGGGGGCGGGTACAGCTGGCTCTGCCTCTAGATAAGCAGAGCGCATTGTCACTAACGCAGCTGGGTGGATCTCGACAGTAATGTCGGGATCCATCCTGGCTGCGTCGGTCTCAGTATACTGCGAGCTGTAGCTCGCTAAATACTGAGCTTTTGGTCACAAGCTTTGGCTACAGCGAGCTGTAGCTCGCTAAATACTGAGCTTTTGGTCACGGGAGGATGCTAGTATCCCTTAAGAGAACTATGGAGAAAACCACTTACCACCAAAGTTCTCTTTTAATCTATGCAGTGATACAGGAAGGTTGGAAGTGAGAAACCAAGGAGGGGACAGGAATCAAAACTCCAGCTTGTAGCCCTTGGAGACCACCATCTGCATCCAGGGCTCTGAGATTCAAGCAGTCCAAGTGTCTGTAAAGGTTTACAAAAGTCCACCTACTCTGTCACGTAGGGGGTGTACCTTTAATGCTGATGAAGGTTTGTCTGAGGATTTAGCAGACTTTAAGCTCCTAGACCTTGTCGGTTGATTGGGAGCAAAGCTGGGGGGTTGGGGAGGGGCGTGTCTGAACATGGATAGGAGTGGAGAAATGAAAGGGACGTTTCCGAGAAGAGGACTTTGCTGTCTGTTCCTTAGGCTTTTCCACTGAGGAAGATGTGTACCCTTGCAACCAGTAGCATTCCTGAAAATGGTATCCATAGTAGGTCTTAAGAGATGATCTCCCTCGAAGGCCATGTGGATCAGACACTTCTGTGGGTTCTGCAATCTGCCACTTCGACTAAAGTGTCCTGCACATGTGTACTGACCCATGCATGAGAGGAGATAGGAAGCCTCCACGGTACAAGTTCTAAAGGACCCAGGACTGGGAATAACACTGGTAGAAGCAACAGGCCAATTCTCTAGTTTCAGAATGGTGTGTACTGCCTTAATATGAGCTGAAAGAGTATATTTTTATTTGGGAGTAATGGCATAAGACTGACACCTCTAAGAAGAGCTTGTAAGGCAAACACTGGAGTGACTCAGAATCAAGGCCACGGGAGTTCAAGGCCACGGGTAGATCTGATTCAGAATCTGGGGAAGAAGGTGCGGGAGGGCACTTAGCAAATAACTTGGTGATTTGGGCCATAAAGTCTTTGCATGACTGTAGTCATAAGAACCAAAATCAAGAGGGCTACACCCAACAGAGCTAAGGAAGACTCCAAAGAACGGGATAGACTATGTCTGCTATCTTTAGCAAAGGGCAACAGAATGGCAGCTGTTGGCTTCATCGGTGGGCATGCTGCAAGCAGCACCTTTAGCAGACTGTGAGCTGGAGGCACTGCATACAGTGTGTCTGTATTTTAAGAGACTCTCAGTGACAGATGTACTTAAGGTAGCTCCTGATGCTTGCCAAATTCACAAAGTGAGTCGAGACGGGACAAATGCTGAGGCAATGTCAGCAACTCTGCCGCTAACTTTTTACTAGAAATTGAGTTTTTAAAGTGCTCTACAAAGAACCCAGTGCCTGAAGGTAATTTCCAGGCTATCCCCACAACATCCAGTCCAGCAGGGTCCAGGTGCAGCAATACAAATGCCAGAATGAGGACAGCAGTGCTGGAAAGCGCAATCATAAAGACCAGCTCTAGCAGCAGTGTAGAGAGGAGTCTTGATTGAAATCAGTTTTTTTTTCACACAGCAGA